GGCCCCGGCCCCGCCCGGGCACGCGCCCCCCCCCCGCTCGGCCTGGGGAAGGCTCCGCAGCTGAGAGGGAGGCATCGGCCGGGACTGCGAAGCAAAGGCCCCGCGGCCCCCCACCCCTCACCCCGTCTCAGGGGGGTCACTAGCAAGGCTCCCTCTAAGCCGTGGAGCCTTGTGAGCAAAAATTCTCCTTTGTGTGCTCCTGGCATTAAAGTGGTGAGCGAGCCGTTTGGCTGCCGCATAAATTAGGTTGCCCTGGAGCCCCCTCCTTCCCGAGCTGAGTCAACCAATGTGTGAGCCAGAGGCTAAAAAACTGGGAGCTAGCTCACACCCACTCCGCTTAGAGGGAACACTGGTTGTGAGCGAGTGATTTGGCTCCTGCATAAATTAGGTTGCTCTGGAGCCCTCCTTCCTGAGCTAAGACAGAAATGTGTGAGCCAGAGGCTAAAAACCTGTGAGCTAGCTCACACTCACTCAGCTGAGAGGGAACACTGGTCACTAGCGGTGTTCCCTCTAAGCCAAGTCCGCGTGAGCTAGCCTCCGGCTCACACACTTCTGTCCTGGCTCAGGGAAGGGGGGGGGGAATGGCTCCAGAGCAAAGCAGCCCAAAAATGAGGGGGCCACAGTCACAGAACAGACCGCAGAAAGAAGAAACCGCGAGGTAGCTGCGCTAGAAAATATTTCAATAAACAATCACAAAACGATAGAACATTGCGGGAGACCACGGTCACGCCATTTTCAACTGCCTTGTGCAGTGCATTTATATGATTTTTGCACACATTGCGGGAGACCATGGTCACGCCATTTTCAACTGCCTTGTGCAGTGCATTTATATGATTTTTGCACACATTGTGTGCAAAAATCATATAAATGCACTGCACAAGGCAGTTGAAAATGGCGTGACCATGGTCTCCCGCAATGTGTGCAAAAATCATATAAATGCACTGCACAAGGCAGTTGAAAATGGCGTGACCATGGTCTCCCGCATTGTGTGCAAAAATCATATAAATGCACTGCACAAGGCAGTTGAAAATGGTCTCCCGCAATGTTCTATCGTTTCGATACTATTCTTCTTCCCAAAGTGGGTGAAAGCCTTACATGCAGCGACTCTTGGTCTGTCCTTTCAACAAGTAGGTATCCAAAAACTTCATTATTATTCACCGATGTCTCATAACTTAGTTGCAAGAAATTCTCTGAAAGAGTGCTCCTAGGGCAAAGTGCTTGTATAATGCCTGAATGTTCCAGAGCAAAGTAGCCAAAGCCCCCGCTCACCCCTTGAAGGCCAGTAGCTCACAAAGCAGAGTTTTTGCTCACGAGCCTTCACACCTTACAGGGGGCATCGGAGGCAGAGACAGGCAGGGGCAAACCACCTCCATTGGTCTTTCACCTTGGAAACCCTATGGAGTCACCATCAGCCGCCTGTGAACAGGGCACTTCCCACCACCCATCATCTCACTACAAGAGAGACTCACTTAAGAGCAAATGTTACAACTAGAGCGCATCTGCAGAAGTGATTTTTACTGCTTTCCTTTTGCAGATCCTCGTGCTCCAGAAGCGCCTGCTAAGGGGGCCAGGACCACCACAACATGCTACCATAACCAACAGCCCCCAAGAGGAGTCGCCAGAGAACCGAAAGAACAGCGGAGGTCGCAGAAGACGCACTGGAGAGAACTGGAAGAAGAAGCCCACTCGCCGGATAAAACGAAAGATCGGAGCCGGGAGAGTACCTGGTAGGGCTCCCCCCACCCCAGAAGTACTGTGGCCATAGTTAGGGTTTCTGCATAGTTCTCTGCACCATGTACCGTGTAAGCCACTCAGAGCCCTTCGGGAGTGAGCGGGCTACAAATTGAAAGTATAAATAAAATAAATAAATAAATCCTGGGCCTGTGGCAAGTGAGGAGATGAGAGAAGCAGCAGCAGTAGAACTTGGCACAGCCTCTCATGCCAAGGGGGCTGCATAACTGAAGCTGAGCACTCTGCCCTATGAAGAAAGCAGGAGAGAAGCCAGTGGCTGCTGTTCAGTACCACTGAAATAGACGTCGCTCAAAGGATCCAGACAAGGTCTTGGCTCCAAGCAGGGTCTCTTTGATAAACAGAGCCAGCATATTGTTATAAAGTAATAATGCAAGGCTTTTAAAATACCACATCAAGACAAATGACGCCAAATGATACACTTAGATTGAATACAGACATTTCAGGAGTTATTTATTTTCATTCATTTAGTTGGTATTGCAGAATAAGATTGGTGACTGAACATGCTATCTAAGATAGACTATGAAATGTCAGTCAGCTTTGGCGGTTACTTCTTGCTTACAGCTTTTCACAGCATCCAGCTTTTGACCACCCAGTGCTCTAAGAAGTGAAGGGTGTTCTTTCCTTAGCTGTTGTAGACTTTCCGGGCTGTATGGCCATGGTCTTGGCACTGTAGGACCTGGCGCTTCGCTAGCAGCTGTGACTGGCATCTGCTCTTTCCATCCCTGTTTCTGTTTTTAGCTTGGGAATAGTGTGGAAATGTCTTCATGATTAAACTAGTTGCCCTCTGCCGACCAGCTGTTGAAAGCTTAGTGGATACACACCACCACTACTTTATCTAGACAACAACCCATCTGCAATTGTTAATTGTGCAGACAGGATACATAGTTAAAGGCAGAACTACCTGCAGGTTCTTCCCCACACCCATGGGCCTGTTTGCAGTTCATCCCTCATGACTCTCACAATGTTGTGTCACCCCACATACCCATCTTGGCAAGCTGCTCTCTTTCCTACGGTTTCAATTTTCTACCAACACTTCCACCAAGTCTCACTACCTAGCACTGCCAAAGCGATGTGCTGCATTTCACCAAGCAACCGCACAAATTGCTCCCCCTCCCCCTTTGGGACAGCAGAAAACTGTACCTTATTATAAGTGTTTTAACTAGTGTTAACTATTTAAACCTACATATACCCTGTGGTTTGCCCATTACATCTGAATGGCAATTTAAATGATAACCCTTTCATTAAAAGTCTTACATTAGTTTAACAGCTTAACAATGTACAGTATACTAATTTCCCCCTATCAGCAGCAGAAATGAGAGAGAGAGAGAACATTCGGGTTTTTCTCTTTGTAACAACATTTAAAAAACAGTATCACTTGACATGCGTGTACCACTTTGGTGACGTATACAGGACAAAGACAAAGCCTGATTTATTAATGGCATGCTGTAGATACGTTCACAATACTCAATAATAAATTAAAATAAAAACCCCTCTTCCCTTGCCGTTTTAAGCTCCTATCACATTTGGCACAATGTGGCCCTTGACCGATTGGACTCCCCGCCCTGCCCGGTCCTCGGCTGTGTGGGCAAGCCGGCAGACAGTCTTAACATGCCTAATGTAACTGCAGGGGAGGGGAGAAGTGCCTCCCATTGATTCTCAACACTGAGGTCAACATCCAAAACGTAAACAAAATCTTATATGTTTATGCTAAAGACAATTTTGTGTTCAAACACAGAGATAAGTAACATGATGCCAAAGCCTAACAAAATCCCAGCGTTTTGTAACAGGAAGTATCCCCAGCGGCTGCATCCATGATCACTGGCGTCATTATGGAGCATTTCAGGCACCTGAATGAAACAAAAAAGGAAGAATTAGCAATCAAGGCAGTGTTGTGAATGGCCAGGCCAGCCACAGGAAGCAGGCTGACTGACCTCCCTCAGTGGGTTTTCCTGGAGGCAGCTGACTGGACGCCATGAAGATGCTGTGCAAAATGGAACCTCGGTCTGATCCAGCAGGGCTTCTTTTGGACAAATCCACCCAGGGGCATCTATTCTAGCCTAAACGTCTTAACAAATTGAGTTTCCTCACCCCACTCTCTTTTTCGCCGCAGCTCACAGACCTGCTAGGTCAGCACGTGAATTAAGGCCAGGCATATGGAGGACTCCAGGGCAATTTCCCCAGTGCTGATGTCGTCACAAGTGCCGGAGGAACGGTGTTCCAGCTACAAATATTTACAAACAGGGTGTTGCCAATATCCAGTGCTCTTCATGCCACTATATATTAATCCAGTGTTCTGGTCCCCATGTGGGTAGTGAGATCCATGCACAGAGGGGTGGGCCATGAGGAATCCCACTTTATAAAACACCGGTTTTTGAACGTGTGTGTGTGTGTGTGTGTGTAAAGTGCCGTCAAGGTTTTTAAGGCAAATGAGTGAGCAGATGTGGTCTGTCATTCCCTTTCTTTGCAAAGTCTTCTTTGGTGTCTCCCACTCACGTGCTGCCCTGCTTAGCTTCTGGTGTCTGATGAGATCAGGCTACACGATACCAATTTACATCCCAATTTTTGAATAGCAACATCTACAGGTATGCATAAGTTTTGAAAAAGCAAACCATCCAGATTCTGTCAAGCCACGCTATAATGGACCCAAAGGCAAGCACCTCAAAGATTCTGAACGAAGCCCTGGTGGGGGCTGCCAAGAGGGGAGGAGGGGAGCAGAGAGGGAACAGTGAGCAGGGAGAAGCAGGAGCCCCCCCCCCCCAATTCCTCATGGTCTCTTCACTTGTACTCACCATATCAACAAGAGCCACATACATGAAGAGCCCAGCTGTAAGTGCGAAGATCCACATGGAAACATTGTCAGCGTAATGACCAATGAGTATCCCAGTGGCCATGCCAAGGTATGCCAGCATGGCGGAGAGCGCATTATAAAGAACTGCTTGTCTGACAGTCATGCCAGCTTTGAGAAGTACAGCAAAGTCTCCTGCAGAAGACAGGGAAGGCTCATGACAATCCGATAACCGGCAGTCCGATAACTATGTTAAACAGTCCTCAGTGTAGCACTCCCATTTCCCCACCATTGGAGATTGTCCAGAAACAGTGAGGACTTAAAATGCTCTTTTTCTTTCTTCAAGTACAATTTTGTATAAAAATCCAGTGACTCATGAAAGCTCATACTCTGCCACATATTTTGTGTCTTTAAGTTGCTACTGAACTCTTGCTTTTTTCTACTGTGTAAAAGAGATTTATCTAGCTTCACCCATGCACCACGGGAAATATTTTTGGGCTGTATCAGTTTCCTTTCAACCTTTAAGACACAGGCATTCAAGGAAGCTGGACGGAGGCAAGAGAAGCATCACTTTGCAATTATTATTATTTTGGTCTCTAGATACAAGCCATGACTTTCAGGTGAACAACCTCAGGGACCAGGTGAAAGCATTTGAGGATCTGTCCCACAACTACCATTTTAACTCACTCACTATGCTGTCCACCGTACATGAGGACCCTATTCAGGAATAGGGGACAAAAAGGCCCTTTCCCTCCCAATCCTATATTAACCTGTCAAGGGTAGTAAGAGGGATAAAAGTGGAAAGCTTTTTAGACTGAACTACTTTGTTATCTGAAAGAACTGAAGCTATATGAGTAATGGAGAACTACCAAATCTTAATTTCTAAAAATTAAAATGACTAACCCAGTGTTGCACACAAAGTAAGGCTTTTTTAACATAAGAACACAAGAAGAGCCCTGCTGGGTCAGACCAGTGAGGGTCCATCTAGTCCAGCATCCTGTCTCACCCAGTGGCCAGCCAGTTCCTCTGGACAGCCAACAACAGGGCAGAGAGGCCAAGGCCTTCCCCTGAGGTTGCCTCCTGGCTCTGGGATTCAGAGGATCAGGGCCCCTAAATGTGGAGGTTCCTCTGAGACACCAGGGCGAGTAGCCACTGATAGACGTATCCACCAAGACTTATCCTCCATGAATCTATCTAATCCCCTTTTAAAGCTATCTCTCCCTATATAATACCTGAGTAGTAGTCTCGCAACGTTCGATGCGTGCCAACAGTGTTTGGCCGCAAGAACTGCCAGTCAGAAGACACTGACTGGATTGGCTGGCTGCTTTGCGGAGTCCCGCCCACGTCAGCCCCGGCCAGTGCCTTCGGCTCACTCTGCTCTGGTCCTCGGACAGGACAGGACCGTCTGCAGGGAGCCGGGGAGCGCTCCGGAGGCTGTGGGGCCCAGCCAGAGAAGCACTACAGAGTTGCCGTTTCCCTCACCCCGTTTTTGCCGATCCCCTGCCACCAACGCCGATGTCCGTCCCCGGGGCCCAGCTGGCCCCGCAAACACCGCCGCCACGGCCAACACCTGCACTGGGCCTGTCGCCGACTCCGTCGCTGCCAAGCCGTGTGCCCGCATCACCAGCTGCCGCCGCAGCCTCCAGCAGTCCCGTGGCTCCATTGCCTGCAGCTGCCCCTGACCTTACTAGGCCTCGGGGCAGCTCGGTCTGCTTCGCCGTGAGAGTGGAGAGCAGCAACGGACCCCACCGTACCGCTTCTCCTGCCCACTTGGCTTCAGAAGCTTTCGGGGGTGGAGCAGATGAGGGGCGGCGGCGCTGAGCCGGCCACCGCGCCCCGTTTCCGCCGCTCCACCCGTCCCCACCGTCCCAGGCTTTCGAGGGGGAGCAGGTGAGGGGCGGTGGTGCTGAGCCGGCCGCCGCGGCCCATTTTCGCCCCTCCACCTTCCCCAGCTTTCAGGGTGAGCATGCGGGGGGGA